TTTCCCTAGAACCTTCCCTGTCATTCATTCTAGCCCCCTCCTCAGCTTCCAGATGTTAGTTCTGCCCTAAACTCCTCCCCTGCTATTCCCTTAGTGGTTACTGTTCCTACACCCCTCCTCCTGAGTTCTGTATAAAACCTTTGCCCCCCCGCCCGCCGGGGTCTTGGGGCTCATGGAATAAAACCATCTCGTTCCCCCCCAAGTCCCGTGTCGCCTTCGTCTGTCCCCGCGTGCCACGAACTGAACTGCAGAGCTTGCAGGGGGAAAGCGGCCGCCCGTTCTCTTCCCTCACCGCCCAGCCTGGCACGGCTTGGAGTGCCGCGGCGAGGAGCGCGTACCGCGCCACAACACTTCTGGATTTACAAATTTAAATAATATTTTAAAAATGAGACATTAATTATACATATTCAAATTAGTTTTAAAATTAAATTTGAATGCAAGTACCTAGGATTAAAACCTCCTTTTTAAAAATAGATTTATATTAGATTTAGAAATATATAAATATTTTATATAAATTTATAAATCTAGTTTAAAAAATAACCTTTTATATATTGCTGATGTGAGATGCCTCTGCTTTCTGAAAGCCACTGGAATACTTTACAAAGTCCTGTTCTGGTCCAGGAGCCTGATGTGAAACTTGAGGTTGCCGCTGACATTAGGCATAGGTGTGGCTCACGCCCTGTGCCCAGGCTGCTCTCGGGTCCCTGCAGTGCCTGATGCCAAGGGTGCAGCCTGGCCCTGCTGGTGCGTCCGACCAGTGCCAAAGGGCAGAGCAGCTCTCCTTGGCACAGGATAAGCTTCCTTCCCTGACACAGCCCCTGCACACACAGCATGTAACCATGCACAGCAATCCGTGTGCCAAGCGGGATGAGCCACGCGGAGCGCGAGCAGTCCTTGCTCCAGCAGCAAGAGAGCCTGCTCAGCAGCGCCTGTGGTGCTGCCCATGACACCCTGTATGCTCCTGTACACTCCTGCAGATGAACCCCTGGAGCAGGAACACTTCTGGCCTCCGAGTCTGAGCCTGTTTTAACTAACTTGGGTGTGTGCAAGAGTATGACAGTATGGCCTCATGATCAGCCATACCACGATCCATCCAGACCCCACTGTCTCACTCTATGTCAACCAACCAGTGGCATGCTCAGTGATTGGTCCTTGTCTCAATTTTCCTCATGAATCCATCACCAGAAGCATATTTCCCTCTATGCTCTTGTGAGAGTTGCACTTTTCCAGCAACTTTAGCTTTTCTGTACACTAAGCCTTTAAAATTTCTGCAAATTAAATTTAGAAGTTATTTTTTTATTCTTCAACTAAACCCTGTCCCAAGTTGTTTCCAGCTCAAGAGCTGACTACTATAATTTAACATTTAAATTTTTCTTCTTGGGAAATACAGGATTCAAAAGATGTTCCATAAACTGAAATTATGAACTTCCAACAACTGAGGTTTTAGAAAAAGTCTCTTGAATCCAGTAGTCTTTTAGATCTCCTCCTTTTATGACTTTCTGAAAGCTCAGCATAAATCCAGTAGCACATTTATATAAGCATTCAATTTCTGTGGTATAAATGGCACTAAATCTGTTTCCGTTTATCCGTGTAGCAATCAGAGAGGATTCTGTGTCAGATGAATTAATTTATTTAAGAAATATGTGAACCCAATGTCGTGCATCAGCTCAAAAAATAGTGATAGGCTGTGTAGTGCCTTGCCAAGTGGAGGCATTCTGAGCATCTGAAACAGAGTCCAGCAGGGTCCAAAAACAGTGCATCTCATTTATTCAGTTTTCCAGACTGATATTTCCTTTCCATTTCTCTTTGAATCGTCATCAGTTTGAGTCTCTGCTTTCTCTGAATCCATTATCCCAGCTTCTTTCTGACTTCTTTTGTTTTGTTTTACATAGAGATGTGAAGGTGGACACTAAATTTTATCTAAATAACTTTAGTCACAGCATTAAAAAAAAAGGAAAGCAGACTTTGATTGGAGGCTTTACTGTAAAGTGTTAGTTCACTGAAGAGTTTTCATTTTTAAACAATTAATACTTTATTTGAATCATTCATAGAAATATCCAGCTGCATGAACACACTGTTCACTTTGTCTTGTGAGTTTCTTGCTGTAATAATGTGAACAGTTTTATTACTGAAGAGACTTCTTTGACAATTGTTTTCCCATTTTTTCCTCCCAAATATCCCAGAATGCTAATTAACAGGAATAGAAGTATCAAGCAAATGTGATGAAGGAAAAAGCATTCAATGTAAAACAACAAAAACATTTGCTCCAGTTGGCTTTGTTTGGGATGTGCAAATAAAGAAGTGCACAGTTTATAATGAGATATGTACACAGCTTGGCAGAGGTTTTATAGCTGAAATTACACTATTCTCTGGCTACAAAGAACAGCTCTAAATAAATCTCTTAAAATTTCTTTTTGCACCTTTTTGTATTAACATCAGTTTCTAGGACTGCATCTGAAAAAGCTATTGTATTAACATTTTTGCCAGTATTTACTGTGATACTTAATTAATTCTATCATATGATCTGTTTTCCAATGCATATAGTGTTTTCCAACTCTTCTTTTTTAATTATTTATTTTCTGAGAATATAATTATTCCGTCCTCCAAAAAAAGATTCCACAATTTTCCCTGTTTAAGGGGAATGATGAAATGTTGGAAGTATTTGAAGCCTCAGAAGCTCCTGAAAAGATTTATAGAAGTTAATGCTATAACTGTCCAGCCTGGAGAGTTGCCACTTGGAAGGGCCCTGCTTAGACTTTGAACTTAATTTCTCAGCATCATGTCTTTAAAAAGTAACCTCCAGCACTTCAGCTGTCTCCCCAAAACTGTAAGACCACTGCTTGGGTAAACCAGGGCACACCTGCGTGAGTCCAGGATGCCCGAGGAGTTTGTCAGATATGCCCATAGAACAGTGAAAACCTCCTATGCTATAAGCATCTCCTGTCACTCCCTTGCTGTGTGTTACTGGCATGAGGCAGTCAGTGAGAAAGAGCCTTGTGGTTCCTTTGTGCCCCAATAATCCTGGCTACTAAAATAGGCCTTTTGAGACTGCTGGCATCTACACTAGCCTTTAAACTCTTTGCTATACACCAGCCCCAACAGGGTTCCACAACCAGGAGAAAATAAAGTTGGACTAAAGCAAATTTTGCACAGCCTGGGTGCCACATGGGCACTACCTTCACCGCTGGGATGCTCTGATCTTGCTTTTGTGCTGAAAAGTTTATGCAGAAATAGCAAGAACGTATTTTTACATAATGAGTTTGTATTATTTTCTTTTTGCCCCAGTTGTAAGCCTAGTGGTAAGAGACATAGCATTTGTGAAATATGGTGAATTCTTACATAGTATACATAGCCCATAGTATTTTTGGTGTAAACTGCAGGTTGATAGGTGAATTAAGAGGTTACTAATCTTCTTCCTGTCAAGAGACAACTTAATTTCTTCAATTGAAAAGCACTACTGGTCAACTGTCACTGGAGCAATACACTGCTTTTTAAGAAATCCTTGACTAATGTATTCATGTGTTTTGTGAGGAAAAACATCTGTATGTTTTGCCATCCAGAAAACCTTACGCACAACAACATATAACTTGATGTATAACTTTCTAGTACACTGAGAAGGGCTTCTAAGACAACCAGCAAAGACTTTGGCAGCATAAGCCATCTAATCTAAACTGATGTATAGTTTAAAATAAATCATATCTGTGTGACAAGCTAAATATCTGGAGTCTGTTTCTCTCTTAGTAAAAACAAAATCTATTCTAGATCCAACTTGCTGTGGTTTTAGCAGCAAGTAAAAGCTGCAATCAGTCTTAACTGCCTCTCGGTATTGACCAAATCATTTTACATAAAGAAAGAAATTAATGCCTTGCTTACTTGTAAGCTGAGATTTCTTTCATTTGAATTTTTAACACAGCATTTCTGATTTTCCCTAAAAATACTCATGGAGTAAAATCCTGATCCTAATTAATGTAATGGCAGTCCTCTGACTGACATTTTGGGAGCAGAGACTTAACTCATAGCCTGAAAGCTGATAGTGACTTTAACTCACTAGGCTGAAACCTGAGATCCAGAGGGTAGGGTATACATTAAATAGATAATTAGTTTATTTCTAGCCTGTATGCCAACAAGCAAGTAATAATGCATATTTGTATCATTTCCAATGATGCAGGGAACACAACTACTCCCTACAATTAATACAAAATGCAGCAAATATTTGTCCCACCAATTTTTTTTATCTTCAGAAAGATAGCTTATATTCTGAAATATTTCACTGACTTCCTGAACCAAGATCATAGTCACTGTTTTTAAGAAAAATAATGCCTTATATTGTACCAGTAAATAGTGACCTTCATATTTAATGTGCAGAATTTTAAACGACACAAAAATAAGTAGGAGTTTTCATTTTGTTTATTACATATATATGTATGTAGTATATACATATATACACACACTACTTAAAAAGATTTGCCTGCATTTGTGAATACTTGCAGATTACTCCTTGAGTGCAAATTATATAATAATGGATCAGTTACCAGTTAATAATTAAATGAAAGACAAACCAAGATATTTCTGAACAGTTTTTAAATCAACTGTAGATACACTGGGAGACGTTCCACTATATTTTTGAATATTATATATGTCTTTCGGATGGTATGATCTTTCAAAGCAGCAAGGAAACAAATAATTTCAACAGTTTTCCCAGATTCCTAAGTTCAATAAGCAACAAAAAAGTAGATAGCCAGACACCTACATGCACTTAGAGATGAAATTACCTGCAGTGAACTTCAAGGGGAGAGCCAAGTTGCAGGAAGGCAGAGCTTGGATGCAGCACAGCCAGGCAAGTCGTGTGCATCTGATTTGCCAGCTCAGTGTCCTGGTAAATGAGGTTGTTAAGAAAGAGAGCTCAATTTTAGAAGCAGGGACTCCTTTTGTGCTGATGTGCAGCATGTAGTACATGAAGCAGGGCAGTCACAGGAATGTTTCCAGTGTCCATTAGTTTCTTCACCAGACGGGCTTGGCAAAAGGAGCTCACAAACACACAAAACAGAGGCATTGCTTTGTTATAGAGAAGATCTCTGCTCTGAAGCTAAGAAAAGTGAAGTCTTCAGGGGTATTTCTGTCCGGAAAGTGGGGTCAAGGAAGAGCTAGGCCTGTAGATCTTTCCAGTGAGACATTGGCTCATCTCACATTAACATTTTTCTCCCCAAGTGCTCTGTTCCTATGAATAAGTCATATTTTACTTGGGAGAAGCCTTTCTCAGTCACTGCTCCTACCTCCAGGGCCCGGCCGATGAGGAACAGTCTCTGGCAGACATCAGATCCAGTCAGACCTGCTGCAGAAGGGTGGCTGAGCGCCAGAGGAGCCAGGGCCAGGGGTGCGAGAATGCCCTGTCCCAGCCAGGAGAGGGAAAAAGGAAGGATGGAAGGTAAAGGGTGTGGGACAGGCTGGAGAGGGATTACAGGGGTGGTTTATCTCTCACAGGTATAGAAATAGCTGACTTTGTGTCCTGTGCTCCTCTCAAGCCAGGATAAGCAGGCAGTGGGCATCCTGAAAGAAAAAAAGAAGGAAAAAAGGTCCAGATAAGTGAGCTGTACCAGAACAACTAAGAATTCTGTAATAAATATACACTAGTCCTCAGCTGATAACCATAGTAAACAAAACTTACTTCAGCCTTGAATGAAAATGGAAAATTAAGTTTTTCTGCTGTTAAAACATCACAAACAACATGGCAACCAAAGATGTTCAAAGATCTGTGGCCAAAGCAGATGTTTAAAAAGCAAGTCCTGGTAGGTGCTTTAATTAATGTGCATGTCTTGACCCATGGAAGTTAACAGTAAGATTGCCATTTGCTTGAGTGAAAAAGACATTCCTCGATTTGCCATGCAATTTCCTGGTCTAGGGATGGACCAAGATCCATGGGCTAAAGCTGTTCAATCTGGCTGCTTTAGCGGATTTTCATTCAGTAGGTCTTGTCCTATTGCAGCAAATAAAGATTTGCTGGGGGAAGCCACTTTAGGAAACTTATGAGTATCCTATACCACCTCTCCTTACCTGCCCCTACTCACTCCTCTCTCCTCTTCACAGCTTCACAGCGTATACTCCCACATCTGTTCCCTACAAAGACCCTTTAAAATAAATCTGGCATATATTCAGCCCTGAATGCAAAGGCAGGCCATTGGTTATTCGTTCTCACTGGGCAAAATATTTTATCTGAAATTATTTGCTTTCAGGAAAAAAACAACAAAACTTCCCCTGTAGCTACAGGAAACAGTCTCTGCACTTGCTTGTTTTCTCTAGGTCTGGAAGCTGATAAGCAAATCTTTCTGCTTTCAAAATGTCCCACAACATGTCTGTGTGTTTTTCTGTTCACTTCCAAATAATCTCACTGTTTTCTCTCCATCTCATAATTAACCAGCAACTTCTAATCATTGTCTTACTCTGAGCACACAAACACAGTCAATCAGTGATTTAATGTCACAGTGGGTCCTCCTGAAAGGACTGCATAAAAACCATCTTATGCTGTATCGCTTTTTACTTTAACTTTCCAATAACTTCCTCTTAAGGAAGATCTTACGGCCCCTTGCTGTTCAGACAAGCGCACACATAATGATGTATTACTATCTTTAGACTATTATGGCTCAGATACATGTTGCTTTAATGAGACACACGTAATTGCTCTCAGTCAGGATCACCAAGCACTGCACTCCCAGAATTACTGCAAAGTCATTAGTTACTCACTTGAAATTGGAGAAGCAAAGTACTTGCTCTGGGTACCAGGGATGGTGTGAATATAGGTATAGTGAACACAGGTCTTTGGGACCAGGCAAGAGAGTACTAAGTTGGATTCTGGTTGGGCAGCACACATACACAGTGTATTGAGTTTCTAACTGGAAAACAGTCCCAGCAGAGCTTGAGATTGTGAACTAAGCCATAAAAAACAAAATCAGTTAAATGGCATCATAGAGGGAAAATATCTACATATTTAAGGTGAGTTTCTCCAGCTTGCATTACAATAATGTTTGTGATTTCAAATGAACAGCTGGAGTCATAGGAAAAATATGTGTCAGATAGAATTTATAGAATGTAAAGCAGATAAAACCTTTATGTTAGCTTTTAAGTAAAAACATGTGATTCCAGCACTACTGTTGATGTTAACACAGTCAAGGTTATGAACAAAGGGTAGAATGAGTAAAATAGGTTTATAATGTGAATCACACCACTGAGTTCACATTAAAAGGAAGGAGAGATGATATATTTATCATCATAATGTGCACTTCATGACTCACCCAAACTCAAAAAAATAAAGTATGTGAATGATTAGGCAATGAAGTTAGGTGTAAAGGAGGGAGGGACATTATGGAAAATATTATTAAGGTTATAGAAACAACTTGACCTATTCATTAATTTGAAGCTAATATGTTGCTCTTCCAATTATCCTAAAAATAAACAGAGGGGTTTTTTTCCTGTGTGAAGGACAATTCCAGCAATTTGGATGACAATCAAATATGTTTGAATGACAGGCTGCATAAAATGATTTAGGGCTTTATTTGGCACATACTTTTCATGTGAATCAGTATGCTTATTTTTATTATGATTCCTCACCTTCATGTGTGTAAGGCCATAAATCCCATCTTTATAGTTCAGAAACTGGATGAAGAGTGGCAGCTGTAACACCTAAAGCATCAAGCCTAACTCATAGTGTAAATTTTTTTTCTACCAGATCATTCTGGGTATTACAGTTTCTGCTGATTTGGATTTTTTTTTTTTTTTTTTTGCTTTATTTTATGTATAACTTAAAAGCCATGCAACAGTACATAGTTTTTTGGTACTTCCAGCACTAAATATTTCTTGGGGTTTTGTTTAGAGCTGGAACTGTGGTTTTCACCATCTTCCTACTTCAAATTCCCATTGTCTGCCACCATTGTCTGTACAAGGGGCAGGACTACTAAAGATCTTTCTAGCCAAATGTAAGTATCCCAAATAGGACTCTCAGTTGTTTAGCTGGTTATCTAGGTTTCCCTTCTAGTCAAAGGAGAGAAAGAAGGTCTTACAAGTAGTTGCTTCAAGTAGTTTCGTCCAGCAGTAGATGTCTAAAAAGCCTGAGATAAATCATGTCTCCAAGCAACTATTTCTTTCTTCTGTAAGGAAGAACCATGAGAAGCTGGCTCAGGGGCTCCTGTCTGAAGCCAGGAGACATGAGTTCCACACAGAAAGTCTGATCTGAGACTGAGTAAATGGGCAAAAGGAACAGAGGGAGGACACAGTAAACACATGTCATGGTTACAGGGCATGGCTATGCAATATGTATGAATTTGACAGGCCAAATTCAGTTTCTTCCAACATTTAAAAAGCCAGGATAAAGATACTATGAGTCTGTCAGGAAGAAGAGAAGTGGTAGAAACTCACAAATGGAAATGCAGAGGAGGAGATATATGAAAGGTAGGCTGGGCAAAAAGGTGATGGGGAACAGAAAATATAAAAGATCTTATTTGGTTGTCATCATACAGGGGCTGATAGTCTTATGGGGTCTTGTAACCCCAGTCACTTCAACAGACCTGCAGAGACAAAGCTGAAGGAATCATGAAGCTAAATATGGAAAAAACAAGGTTAAATGGATCCATTTAGATAAGATCAGAGTTTCTCTGAACCAAAATTACATCTCTGGCTGTTAGTGCTTCTCACTTGCACATCTCTGCTTACTCAGGGAGCCTGGGAATGGTACAACTGAAGGTCCCAGGACTAGTGTTGTAAGAAATCTTTTTGATTTCTTTATAACCAAGAGAAACCAGAAATCACTCCTAAATAGAGAAACAGAGTTTTGGGAGATTTCTGAACCAGTAACACTAAGATGCATGTCTTGGAAATGTTTTTGTCACTAACTTGGAGATTGTTAACCATAAGGCTTCCAAATGGCTTTTAAGGACACTTCTTTTTCTTCCACTTAGCTTTGACCATAGGCAGAACTGAATAAAAATGTGGTGACTTGGCTTTTTCAAAATAGGTTTGGTGTTGTTTGTTGGCATGGGATTAAATATCTTCTCTGTGCAGCAGCATGCATATTGATGTCCATAACCAAGAAGTAAGAACATGTTAAATCATAGCTGCCATATGCTTTGGAAATTATGAGCTCTGTTTATACTTATATAGTCTTAAATTGACATGCTTAGAAATTGCAGTGAATTGCTGGTGAATTCAACAGACCACAATTGCCTTTATAATCCAGACATAATTTGGATTAAATCATCTGGATAAGATAGAAATTTACCACATTAAAAAAGAACCTGGCTGTATTCTGCAACACTAATCACACAGAATAACACCATGTCATTACAACACTTTGCTACATTTTCAAGGATCAGTATTTGCAGGAGTAATCACAGGACAATAGGGACAAGAAGAAATTTAATTTTTAATAAGCAACAATCTGGAATCTCTTTATCTGAAAACCTTACCTGGACAGTATGAAGAAATCACTATCCTGGGATATTAGACATAAAAAGATTCAAACTGATTTTTTGAGTTTAATGAACATTAAACTCTTCTATGCATTTCAGGTTTTTTTAAAAAATAATTGAAAACAGAAATGGCAACACTTTAGGTAATGAGAGGAAAGGAATCCATTATACATAGTTTCACCTAGAGATCTAATTAGCATAAATGACTGGTGAACTCAGCTGAATATCTTTTATAAATGGCTGGTTTGTCCATTTAATATCACAATAATTAATTAATAATTAATATCTTTTTATTGTGGATGGACTTTGTTGACTAAAGTAAAAAGAATTAAAAATCCAGAGAAATATATATTAATGAGTCAGATTAACAAGCAGTAGAAAACAGGGATGAGCTAGACAAAATTAATTTCTATGCTC